TACTTTAATTATATTACGAGTCTTCATCAGGTTGATCTCAGTTGCTGGCTTTAACGAGCAATAATCCGACTGGCAGCTTAATCAGTTTTTACTTTTGCCTTGCATACACCTATTCGACAAAATCAATAAGTATAGGAATTCTTTCTGCTGAATGTGTACGAGTGAATGTGTACAGCCTCTCTCTGTTGCGATCACCTCCATTATTTTGAATGTAGTCCGAGTTCAAAAATTGTCGCTCTTATATGGCCTCCGCATTCACCGTTCGGGACGGACCCAGAAGCTAAAACGTCTGTTACAAATTCTTTGACCTTGAGAAGCGAAAGACATGCTAAGATAAGATGTGACCCACTTTGTGAGGCCGAACCAACATTCAATGTTCAGGACCGAAACAGAAGCTAAAACGTTTGTTACAAATTCTTCGCCTTTCAGAAGCCAAACACATACTAAGGTATGAGGTGGGGCGGCGGAGAAAAGCTCACCGGAGAAAAGCTCATCGGAGAAGAGCTCACCGGAGATAAGCTCACCGGAGAAAAGCTCACCGCGAAACCGGCAGATGCGGAGAAAAGCTCACCGACCTTTGAGCGGATGCGGAGAAAAACTCACCGATATTTTTTTTAGCTTAGTGGATTCTGCGTCAAACGTGGCAATTTAACACAATTCGTATTCGTCACTTCATTAAAAATGTGTCCTCTTTTTTGTAATATTATTGAAGTTCATTGGGCATATTTACCAATTCCTCAGAAATTAGTAATCACTCACTCTGCATAATAATGAAGCCGCAAGTATAAAAGCAGTACATCGTACATCGGTAAAAAAGGCAATTTATTGACAACTGACACTGCGCCGTCGGTAGCTCTGTCAAATACAGAGGTTTATTATTTGCGAGCTAATATGAATCGCGGTCTGTGAACCGTTTCAGCTCCAAATATTCAGTAGTGCGTAATAAATAAGTATGTGTTTGTTGATGTAATCAGTGTCGGCTACGCTGTTCTCTTTTTGTTCATTTCACTAACAAAACTTTAGTTGCGAGAACAGCTTCGTCCTGACGTGTTTGTTGCGTTCACTCCGTCGTCGTCATTTGGGCGGTTTTCATAATGTATAACGTTTACCAACTTACCCAATTCGCTACCTTACAGAAGACTAGTTCTTACATAGGTCACGAGTAACAACGGTGACAGTGTGCAGCTCTGAAGGTCATGAATGGCTCTACATAGAAGGTCACTATCACACAAAGGCAACGTGTGGAAACACCACCACGAACGGCTAGAAAACGTGCATGTCCGAGGAAGAAAGAAGCCTCGATATCCTACTGGCTGTTTTATCCTATTTTTAAAGGTTAACAGAAGCTCCAAAGAGAATTTCAGGCACCGCGTTGTTGCGCATGAACTTTCGGATTTCGAAATTTACAGTTTTGATTTTTAGGTTTTAGGCATACATTATTAAGTTTTCAACTTTTTCCTGTTCTTCAAGTTCAAAAAGTTGTTAGTTAGGCTTTCTTTGCCTAGAGAGTAAGCCACAGAAAACACTCGCCCGCAATTATTAATGTTGGAGCTTAAGCTTAAGCTTAAGCTCCGACATTATAAGCTTAAGAAATAATACATGAAAGGACATTTTCTTTTTTACAAAGCTGACGAATTTTAATGATAATAAATTGATATATGTTACGCTTGATCCAAAAACCTACATGTAAAAAGAAGAAAAAAAAAATAGGTGAGCTTTTCTCCGCATATGGTCAATGACGGGTGAGCTTTTCTCCGGTGAGCTTATCTCCGGTGAGCTTTTCTCCGGTGAGTTTTTCCCCGGTGAGCTTTTCTCCGGGATTCATGAGGTGAGCCACTTTGTCCGCCCGAACCAAATTAAACAATAAATATTTGGGGGGACGAACTATTGTGGGACCGGTTGGCCGCGTGACGAGTCATCCTATGACGAATGTTCCTGTGTGACGAATCGTCCTGTGACCAATCGTCCTGTGACTAGTGTGCATGTGACGAATGGACCGTATCCCCATAAAGACCTACTAAAACAATCTCGGGCTTTAGTATGAGCCATTTCGTTCCACCGTAAAATAAAAAAATAAAAAACTGCTTTTGAGATTTAGATATTCCCGCCAAATATCTAATGTTTGGCCTTTTGAAACCAAGGAAATGGGCATTTCATTTAAAATTCTCACTATCCGACGAACCGAAAGTCGCAGGTAATTCTACGCTGAAACAACTTGCAATTCGCTTCTTTAAAGTCACAATTGTCTTTATGTGAAGGCAGAGTAATGTAGCTTATACCGTCCAATACATTGAAGCATCATGTTACCCACGGTCGTGCCGCAGCGTAATTGATGCCGCGGTGAAGACCGCTGGCAGGTCATGTATCAGAAATCCTATGTGCAGCGGCACGAAAGCGGAACGAAAAATTCATACTTTGGCGCCTGCAGCCGCGCATGCGCATACCTTCTGGGTAACGCGCCGGTGACGACACCTGTCGCGATCAATACCACGCGCCTCAGGCAAGCCGCTCCGGTCCCAACACTACCCCAGAATTCTAGTACACTGTATTTTGGGGGAGGGAGTCGAAACGCGCTTTAGCTTTCTCTTCATCCTTTGTTTCTTCTCCTTATTTTTTTTTTTTTTTTTATTTTAGCCGCGACTGGTAATTAGTATCGCTGCTCAATCTATTCTAATCATTGACATTGATGCTAGCGAAGAGTCCTAGTTTGTTACAGCTAATATTTTGGGATATGGTGTGTGCTATTTTAGGGAAAAAATTATTATACAGAGGGATCCATCATCTGCTTGTTGTTGACACCGTATTTTTACTTGAACGCGCCAGGCGCATGACCCTAAAGCCAGGGCCCCATTAGTTATGCATGGTTATGCATCATACAAACGATAGTCCGCAGACACCGTTCGAACGTTGGTCCCCCCGCACGCTTCGCATGCGGCGCCCCAAGCTACTCTTTCAATTGTTTGGCATTTGGCATGAAGCTTAGATGGCGTGGTGACTCGCAATCTAATCTGTCTGCAAACGTTTCTACACATCATTTTTTTTTACGTTCTTATACTTAGACGTTTTCTTAACGACGGTCCTTAGGCTGATTGATTTGCTGCCCTCCTTCAGCAGGACTGCTAAAACTTTCAAAGCGACTTGCTTGGCCTCTTTGGGATAATATAAAGGCTTAGAGGCGGCATCGCATCGGTGTCTCGGCAGCTGCAATCCTTCGGGAACCGAAGCACCTCCTGAAAACTCATCTCCACTTCGTCTGAATCAAAACCTAAAGCAAATTTTGATTTTCATAATATATTCAAACATCTTCCGTGACGCAACAGACTAATCTTTTTCAGAAACACTTTCGCTTAACCTCTTCTAATAATCGTTATTTGTAGAATTGATTGTAGAATCTCCTTCTCGCGTGGTACAGTACATCGAACAAAGTCAAAATTCCTCACCGAATGATTCAGACGAACAAAGGAAGGCGGTTTACAATGGACCTTTTCCGAGAAGCGTTCTGCGCACGCGCGAGCGCCCGATGCCAAGCGGCAGAAGTCGGAACGAAAAATCGAGGAAATTCGGAAGGACGCTGTATATCAGCGAGTAGAACAGGCAACTGCACCATATATATAATTGTGTTACACAAAAAAAGAACGTCGACGGAAATGAAAACACGACGTTTGGGTGGACGCCACGGATGCCCCTCTTTAAAGTCGCGTTGGGCAGGCGCCGCTGCTCAGAGAGCGAAGAAACTGGTAGCGTAGCTCCCATTATCGATTGGTAGCGCAGGTAGGTCACTTCCTCAATTTTTAGTTCGTGCAGCCACCGCCTGGTGCCGTCGGTATGTGGAAAAGGTCCATTAGGAGGGGTCAAATCAGTTTAGAAGCATGCACCTTTCCAATCGCTTGAGGGGTATAGAAGGGAAACACGTCGCGCACCACAGAACTTTATTGTACGTTCCACTTAGCTTTCATCCCGCAGCTTTCACAATGCTGCACGGAACTTCTGAAAGAAAGTTTAATTACTTTTTTTACCTTCGTGGAACCTTCCAAAACCTTGTTTTCAAAATAGGGAATTGCAATTGTATATTGTTTTGAATGGCGGACGACAAGCAATTTATATTAATTAAACTAATCGTTCAGTGTGATATGTATTTGGTGTTGGCTTCGAGTGCGACGAGAAGGGGGCAAATAAACCGTCTGTATAAAAACGTAAAAAAATCGCCCACAAAAATTGTATAATAAATGACGAAAACGATCCCTGGAGAGGGGGAACAAGAGGGACAAAGGACAAACACAAATCTCCAAACACAGCTAGGTGACTGGTGCGCGACCGAAAAAATCCGCCTGGTCCGGGCATCGAACCCGGGATCGCTCCGTTACACGTGGCGCGCTCTACCAACTGAGCTAACCAGGGGTTAGACGTCAGTAGAGCAAACGGGTTTTATCAACCGCCACCAGTCTAAACCAACAAGGGTGAAGCTTGCAACTTAAGGTTATGATTATAATGCAATTAAACGCAAAGGTGCAAGCGAGCTGGACAAGAATGACGAAAATAATCCCTGGAGAAGGGGAACAAGAGGGACAAAGGACAAACACAAATCTCCAAACACAGCTAGGTGACTGGTGCGCGACTGAAAAAATCCGCCTGGTCCGGGTATCGAACTCGGGATCATTTTCGCCATTCTTGTCCAGCTCGGTTGCACCTTTGCATTTAATTGCATTATAATCATAAGTATAATAAATGTTTTTCCTTGTTTTGTTGGTTTTTTTTTTTGTTTTTTGTTTTTTGTCTAGATAGCGGGAAGGTTGTCAGCCCCAATGGGTGGATAGGGCGCGTCCTGTACAACTTTCTCTATAAAAGGGAAATTAAGTCCGTGGCAAGCGGAAGAGACAGAGACAGGATAAGCCCAATGCGTATGCTAACTACAAGATAGCTTGAACAATTTGCACGTCATGCGGTTGGCCGCAATATGCAGTTTCAGTACTTTTGAGCTCGGGGTAAAACGAGGAGCCAAATTAAAATAAATACACCTCACTTTATTAGCATCACCGGCCAATCACACGGCCCTGAAAAGGTTCCACTTCACCCGACAGCTGAAGAATAAATGATGTGTACTAGGTGAAAAAAAATAATTGTATAAAATCGTTCACCGAACTGTTTGTCTCGAATGCGTCAAAAAAAGTTAGTCAATAGGACCCCGTCAAGGGCAAATTAAAATACTTATTACTTCCCGAATGCTATCCTATCACTGTAGCGTAAGTTTTCTTCGCTTCTTCAGCTTGAGATGTATTTCAATAAAGAGGTATCCGATCATGCCGGCAGAGAGGAGGACCGTTAGCAACAGGAGCTTGTGAGTGACGAGAAGCACTTTCTGGACAGCAAACGCCACGATGAAACCAAGAGACTCCCAGAGACGGTAGTTGGCGAAGGCCCCTTCCTCGCTGTCCGCAAACACTATGCCGTAAAACGCTGCAAGAGGAGAGACAACGACTTAACTCAAGCGTCGGCGGCTCGCTTAAACTGCACCGTAGACTCAACCATAAAAGAATCATAATTAAAGAACGAGCAAAAAAAATTAAAAAAAAAAAAAACGAGTACGGCTATGAGAAACCTCAGACACAGACACATCACTTGTAGTTTTTCCCTGAGTTCGCCAATCTCCTTCACGAGCCTCGCGCGCATGGCACATGCTTTGACCGCTTTCCAAAGCGGAGAATTCGCGCGTGCCGTGATTTGTCAAAAAAGTCAAATTAGACGTTTTAGTGATTTATACAGCGTAAGGTTGGTCTGCCAGTAGGGGCGACACTGGTTTACACTGTAGATGAGCAATTTTGCCAGTGCATTACGACTGCTAACCTGGGGTCTTTAACGTGCTCACGCAGTAGTGATACACGACCGTACGCCGGTACGATGCTCATCCAGATCGAAACGGGCAGGGGTGGGGCTCAAGCCCAGGATCCCTAGGTTCTGCAGCGCGAGCTTTCGCTCCACGCGCGTCGAGCTGGGTGTGCGCTTCAGCCCACTCGGCCACCGATCCCCCCCCCCCCCCCCCCCCTCACTGGCCAGTTCAGGTACGCCACTGCTGAAGCGATGCTAAGAGGCACCTAAACGTGCGGGAACCTCGCTGTTGCTCTGCGAATGCGGAGCACGAGCCGGCACGAGCACTACCACTGCCTACTGCGAACTAAAGTCATAGCTGCGTCACGTATGCTCCGAATGCTTGGTGAGGTCGGTCTATTTTATTATGGCTAATTCGGGTGGTCATTTCCCGGCAAAATATTTTGCCACATCTTCGGCAAGGGCGTGGTCAAAGGCTGGCGAGTGGGCGCCGTTCGGGTGGCGCTTCTCAGACGTGTGCCGGCAATTTACCGGCTCAATGTTTGTCCGAGCTTCAAGAGGTCGGGCAGCTTGTCTGCCGGACTGTATCCGGTACCGTTAAATCCGAATCGTGAGAGGGAACCAAACGAAACAACGCTCGCCTATAGCAGGTTCGAGTAGAAAACGAGGCTGTTGAGACAGACACCCTTTCGTGCTCCGAGAAAAGATAGCAAAAGCAACGAAGACTAAAAAAATTAAAACTTTAAAGGATGCCAAATTTATATATATATATATATATATATACAATTTATCCAGTTTGCTCAAGGTCAGTTTGCTATGGAACACGGGCCGCATCACTCTTCGTACATTATTTTTTTACAGCAGTATATTAAGTTATCAGACCGCTGTAAAATAATAATTAAGTATGGATAGTGATGCAGCTCGACATTCGAACACGCATTAAAATGTCAAGAGGGGTGGGCGCAATGAGAAGAAGACCGAGGATTTCAAAAACAGGTATTAACAATAAAACAGAATATGAAAAGCGGCGCCGGCCAGCCTCCTTTGGGATCCTTGCAAAATGGCAACAGTTCCTCGGAAATTCAAACAAAATATATTAAAATTTCACGCGTGTGCGGGCAGAACCTCACCGATTTATTAATCTGCACTTCCAATAATTTCAGAATTTAAGATCCTGAAAGTTGTGCGGACTGTGGTAATATCAATATTCCGAAAACTATTGTGAAGCCGCTAGTGTTTCTGCACATCTCAGAGAGTCGGAATTTATAATGTTGACGCATACAGCGTGCTCATTGTACCATAGATTTTTCGAGGAAGAAGTTAAGAGGAAACTGAAGAGGTTCTTAAAGAAAGACGAGTTAGAGGTGAACAAACGGTTAGGGCGAAAACGAGCTGGGTAATGGTTAAACATTTTACTAAAAACCCCGAGACTGGGACGAGAAGGGACGGACTTTGTGTTTGTCCGTCCCTTCTCGTCTTAGTCTCGGGTTTTTTAGTCAAATGTTAGAAGTGACTTCTAGACTATTTTTTATCTTGTGAATCTGTATATCACGTTCGTTTTCCCGGAAGATCTATTTAAACGCGAGAAAACACGAAAATCCTCCGACCAGTTGTTACGTCATAAAATTATCTTTCGGTCGCCAAGCGCGTGTCGCTCGTGTGTGCGGCGCGTGCAATTGCAAGCCTGCCATGTATATTCCCCTGCACTGACACCAGTCGTGACGTATTTTTCTGACCCTTTTTTTTTTTTTTTTAATAGCAAGGGTGCGAGTGCATAGCTTTAATAGCCACTGAAGATGCGCGAGAGCGGAGATTCCGAAAACTCCTTTTATGACGTCACGCTCCGGGAAGGAGGGGCTTCAGCGGTACTTTGAAGATGATTTTCTGCAGCGTCCGTGCACCACATTGCAAAATAATCTCGATGTTCGTGATCCTGAAGGCCAAATAAAGACGATTTGAGCGTTTTTACTCAAATATCAAAGCGCTTCAGTTTCCCTTTAACAAAGCTGACGCGCGACCCAGGCAAATAAAAACGTCAGTTGCCGGCGCTTTGTGTTCTGCTGGAGAGGGTCACGTGGTGCACCGCTGGAGCGTTTTTTGGTCGCCGGTGCCACCGGCAAGGGCTCGCTGGTGATTGACCACCTCAATTTGCCATATGATAATCTTTTCTGCGTTACTGGGGTCGTTGAAACTAAAGTCACTGGATCTGGGAAAGTAGCGCCATTGCCTTCCCACCCGCTGGCCGGATACAAACAAATACCAACATACAGACGACAAAACCTCTCAAGGTGGTTGGCTCATCGCTGCCGGTTGCCATGGCGATCGCCATTTTGGACCCTTCGAAGCTTCGAAAGGGCCTTCAAAACCAGTCGCACCAAGATCGCTATGGAGCATCATCGTACTGAAAGCGATCCTCGGCCAATATGAGAGTCTCTGGCACTGTGCATTCAATAAAATTATCCCTCATGATTATTTCCCCTGATCTCTTACAATTGTGTTGCTCTTCTTGCGTGTTTCAAAACAGTAAAATTATTTTTTAATGCCTGCAAGCACTGACGTTGCGTGTGATGGCGGTACGAAAATGTACGGCATCATACGCGGCGTCGCTTGAAACACTTAAAAAGAGCAACATAATTGTAAATCTGGGGAAATAATCATGAGTGATAATTTTATTGAATGCACAGTGACAAACACGGTCATATTGGCGAGCCCTCACAGTGCACAAGAAACGACAACCTGTTTTCTAAACAGTGTTGAGGTTAGAGACAACCCTGCTCTATTCGATTCGAACCACTACTCGCACGTCCCTAGCAGGCACGTAGCCAGGAGGGGGGGGGGGGGGGGGGGAATCTTTTATTTTGCTGGGGCCTCCTCTCCCCCTTCCCCCTCATACAGCATTTTGTCATGACCTCCCCCCCCCCCCTCCTCCCCCCCGAAACAAAATCCTGGCTACGTGCCTGGTCCCTAGTATTTGAGTAATGTAACGCGCCTACTCACCGTTCACTTGGGTCTGCCAAACTGCGTCTCCTAAGCCCCAGCAGCCAGCGATAATAAAGAAGACGTAAGGCTCTTCGGGAGATGATTTCCAAAGGTACAACAACATGATGATGGCCGCGTTGACCATGGCACCAAAGACAAAGATGGGTATCCTGCCAACGACTTTGATGATAGACCCAAACACCATCGAAAAAATAGCATCTGTAAGTCCAAACGTGATCATCACGAAGCCGACGTTATGGATGCCCAAGGAACAGCTTACATACGCCTGAAAGAGAAAGGTACAATTTAGGGCAAGTCAAATAGAAATTCGGAAGCGTAATAATGTCAATTCACTGCAAAGGTGCAAGTGAAACGAAAATAATCCCTTGACCAGGCGGATTTTTTCAGTTGCGCACCAGTCACCTAGCTTGTCCTTAGTCCCCATTGTTTCCCCTTTTCCGGGGATTATATTCGTCATTCTTGTCCAGCTCGCTTGCACCTTTGCATTTATTGCATGATCATCATCACCTTAAAAATGCAGGCCGTTCACCCTTGTTGGTGTCAGACTGGTGGCAGCTGCTAAAACACGTTTTCTTTACTGGCGTCTAACTCCTGGTTAGCTCAGTTGGTGGAACGCTCCACTGGAAATGGAGAGGTCTCTACTTCGATACCAGGGCCAGGCGGATTTTTTCGGCCGCGCATCAGTCACCTAGCTATGTTTGGAGATTTGTGCTTGTCCTTTGCCCCCTTTGTTCCCTTTCTTCAGAGATTATTGTCGTCCGGAAGCGTGTTGGGCATGCGTATACAATATATTGCGCCCCTTTCTTCGTAGTAATGTACCCATTTAAAAAAACAACTTGCCTGATTAAAGTCGCCGACCAGAAAGGCTTGCTCAACACCGCTGTAGATTGTCAGGGGCACGATGGCCCATTGGTAAGGCTTGCGCATGTGCCTCAAGGTCTCCACCAGCAGACCAAAAGAAGACCTTTTTTTAGTATCCCCGTTCGGCTGCGTCGCAAGAGGGTCGAGGAGCACCAGTACACTGAGTGCCGAAAGGAAAGCGCACACGGTGTAGATGCTCATCAATGTGTACAACTTAGAGCTATCCGGAGGCTGTAAGTTGGCGTTGTCCGTGATCTCTTCCGCAGTTACGAAGTTCACCCCACAGCTTTCGACGCTAAAGTTCAGTGTGGCGTTGGCAGGCGGGCCACCGGGCTTGAGAACATAATAAGAGATGAGGTTGCCCCAGATCTGAGCTGTCTGGAAAACCATGAAAAAAACGCCAAAAAATCGCGTCACCACGTCGACCGTCTTTTGTCCTGTCTGCCGGGCGTACTCGGAAGCCAGGGTTGTCAGGTAAGCGCACTTGGCTGTCCACAGTGGAGCACCACCAAGGCCCAGAATGATGGACGCCGGGATCATCGTGAACCACGTCGGGTAAAAATTAGCGATGAAGTACACCGCGTACATGAGCATGGACACAACGAGCGTGTACTTGAGACCCAGCCGGCTAATCATGAACGTGGGCACGAACATGCACGACACCACCAGTGCAACGTAGATGGTTGCGAGGGTATACGTCCCAAGACCCTGCTCCGAATTGATGCTGCTCTGGAGGTTGGAAACAGATTGAAATGCTGTGAACAACAGAAGGAAGCCAGAGCTAACAACTAGAACGTTTTTGAAGATGCTCCTTCGGCTCATAATTAACACGGGAGGAAGCGCACCGTCTTGCAGATTGGTGTTCTCGCGCATTGCGATGTGGTCGCCCTTCTCTGCATAGCTCTGGCTTGAATGTTGCTTCGAGGTCATCTCCATTTGCTCAGTCGTTTTCGCCATGGAAATTTTCAGGTCTCCTGTTTGTGCCAATCATTCACGAACCTGAAATCGTAAACAGATAACAATTTTAATCCTCTCTTTTCTGCCTATGTCGGAAAGCAATTTTTTATGCCGGAAAATAGTTTTTTGCGTGTTGAAATAACTGGCTTCAGCCAGTGAGGACAGAGAAAGGTTTCTTTCAAAACGGGCAAACGTCGTTTTGTCAATGAGATTGCATGACCATTAAACCGCGTTCCCCCCGCTCCCTCTTGCCACCAGTTTAGTCCAAAAAAGAAACTTCGAAGATTCATGTTACGAGCGCATCGCGAAGCATTAATGAAAGTGTAACAAGTAATCCGAAAAATGTACTAAAAATGAGGAGGCATTCAAAACCCTGAAGTGCTTCAACCAATGATAAAAGGATGCAAGTTATCTGTTATTGGTAACTCTAGTCAACCTTTTTTTTTTTTTTTTTTATGATCTACGTTCACCGCTTTAACATTTTACTGCTTGGAGCACTAAATGTTTGACGTGGTATGAGAGGACATTCATTTTGACACCTCGTTACTTCGATCACTTAGTGCTGTCAGACTGTTTAGTGGTGATCACACGAAACACTCACAGCGCCCTCTTGCCAAAATACAAAGCTATAAGTAGGATTTTGTGTTTTCGTTGTTTATTCTCGTTGTCCTGAAGGAACCTTGTCACTAGTTAGAGATTTCATATGAAACTGAAGTGGCATCTCTTGAGGCACAATGGCACTCGTAATCGTATAAAGTTAATTTTTAAAACACCGACTTTTTTGTTTTTTATTTCGTTGTTGTTACCTCGAAATTCTGAGTTTTCCGGATAATTTCTAATTGACAGAAAATCTACCGGCAAGTGTTTTTTCGGATTTTTTTTTTTCGGATTTATTCGAAAACACGGAACCAGCTAGGTCGAACAAAAATGTTTCGCGGGAGTTGCCGATGGACCTTTTTCCGAAATGCGTACGGCGCATGCACGCGATGCTTGCCGCTCCTGGGTTCGAAATTGCGTGCTAGCAAAATAGACCCACCATCTTGTATGTTGTGCACAAGCCTCGTTTAACTAGTCCTTCTTGTAGAGATCAGTCTCCTCAAAATTTAACACAAGGTGACACACGCAAGTATATTGACGAAAAGAAGAGAAGAAAGACGCTTTTGATCGCATGGAAAGAACGAATTTCGAAGCAACAACAACCATGGCGTCAACACTTCAATGCGTTGTCATTGATTTTACGACATTAAATAGTTTTAGACTGTGCGGTGTCCGCTCTCACCTTCTATCGTAACAGCGTCTTTCTTGTCAGGCGAACGGCATGAACTCGCGCCTCAGCAACCTAGGGTGGGTTTGAGAGTATACCGAGGTCATGGGAGGGGTTCGCACGGTTTCGGGTATGAGAAGTGACGACTCAGTGGTCCGCCTTAAACGCGAATCAAATTTCCTCATCCCGGTTATATGTGACTAGAAATCCTGGAGATACTAAGAAGATAGCAAGTCAACCACCAGGATGGTGAGGGGCCCTGTCCTTCCCTAGCGTGACGTCACTTGCAAGGCATGTATAGGGAGTGGGTTAATATAGCTTAAATCGCTTGGTGCGTATTTATAATCTGCTACTTTCTTTTCTTTCGCCTTTCGCAAGAGTAAACAAAAAAATGTCTTTCTTTTTTTCGTTTTCCGTGAAATTAGGCTCAAAGAAGGCAATCGCAAGTATAAGACCGCTCGCGCGCTTGATAAGCTCGCCACGTGGAGAAAAACGAGGAACCTGCCTTTTAGATGCCCCTGGTATAAGAAGCTGAAGGCGACGCCGAAGACGTGGTCACGAAGGAGTGCGCGATAAATGCGTGAACGACGGCTTCGTAAGATAAGACAGATAAACCTCGATGCAGAAGCGAGCGACACTCAAGTGGGTTTCGGGGAGCGTACGAAAGTTCTGAGGCACGCTGCCGCCGTTTTTGCTTTATAGGCAACCTGCGGTGCTGTTTGGTTTGGCGCTATCTACCGACTGAAGCCACAAAAAAAAAAAAAAAAAAAAACATTCGATATGCCTGGAAGTGGCGACTGCATTATTCAAACGTGAGCTATTACTTTGGGAGCACCGCTTAGCTATAGTGTCTGAAGCAAGAAATGATGGGTAGGCCAGGAAGCCGTGGGAGTGTCCCTGCGGGCCATTCGGAACAACGGAGTGAGGCACGTGACTACGTATCGCCGGAGTGCGCTTTTACTCTAAAGAAGGCTTTTCGCTGCGTCATGCTCCAATATGTGTGCGTTCTCCTCGTATACGTAGAGCATATCGAAGCCGTCGGAAGGCAATGTAAAACGTGCTCTTCACCCTTTGCCATACAACGAGACAGGCTAGAACCGTAGGCTCTCACTCTGCTGGCGCCGCCTGGCCGCTGCCGGCTGGCACTATAAGAAACCCTCCGTAAGAGCAACTTTCGCTTGTAATTTCTCTGAGATGTTCTACGGGGTATGAAAAAGGTCAAAGGAGCGGGCAGGAGGACAGGAAAAAGGGGGGAGCAACTTGAAATGCGTCTAAATTGGCACCAATCGTGTTAGATGTGACTCTGCGCAACGTGGTACGATTCGCTTGGAGTAACATCATCCTTCGTATACTTACTACCTACGCACTGTATAGACCGACACGCGGGCTTGACGTCACGGCGCTGCGGCGGCGCTGCGATCGCGCTGGAGCCGAGGGGTGTGGGCAAAAGGGCGCACGTATCGCATGGGCGTCATAGTATTTCAGCATGCCGCGAAGCTGTGTTGCCGTTAATCTCACAGAAATGTACAAGAAAAGTAGCGGAGTGAGCTTCTACAAGTTCCCGGCAGACGCTAAAAGGCACAGAAGGTGGATAATATCCAGTGATCGAAAATTATGGTCGCCTCGCGCGTTTAAGCGGCAAGCACTTTCTTGGAGGCAAGTTTGAACAAGTGCGGCTTCCATTTCAATCTCCGTTCCGAGCTTTGCTTATGTACAGGGAAACCGTCCTCTGATCGAGACCACCCGGATTTTGTTCCCACGGTGTTCGCGCACAAAGCACCGGTCAAGCGCTCGTCGGAGGCTCGCTACGCCTGTGCTATCCAGCAGAAGGGGATCGGCAACAAAACGGCAGTGTTGTAGGCATTACCAAAAAAAAGTAACGAAATACGTTACTCGTTACTTGCAAATCAAAGGTACGCATTACTGAGCTACATTGCCTAAAAATAAAAGAAACGCGTTACCGCTACCGATAAAAAGTAACGCACGTTATTTCTGCGTTACTTTTTTAAATTATGATTAAACACGTTTTACGGTTTTGACGATACAGGTATGCATAAGCTCATATATCAAGAAACATAATGTTCATGCAGAAACAGAAGATAATTACTTTATCTCTTTTTACGGTTTCACCTAAATACTGACGAGAAAAAATGCAAAGAAATACATATGGCTTGACGCCTAAAAACACGGAAAAAATTGAAATGTAATTGTAGTAACGAGTAACGTAACTACGTTACTTGAAATAGTAACGTAAGTACGTTACCCGTTACTGTGTCGAAAAAGTAACGAGTAGGTAACTACGTTACTGAAAAAAGTAAAGCGTTCCTGGTAACACCGTTACTTATAACGTGTTACCGCCAAGACTGCAGAACGGACAAAGCGTTACTGCTTGTCATGCCTTGTGGTCCTAAGAGTAGGAAAAATAGCATACCTTGACTTGAATACGGTGTGTGTATTTATTTAATTAATAAATACACTTCTGCAGACCCACAGTCTGCTGATCCCGCCGGCAGTGCGGAAACCGACTCGAAGTAATCGTAGGCCTGGAGAGACTTGTACGCCTGCTCCGTGTCGGCCGTGAACTGGCTTGGCGAAAAAACTAAATAAACGACGAAGTGAGCCGTCGACTTCGGTGGCAGCAACTTCACGTCGGAAGTCCAGCAGGCCTTGTTTACGGCGTACGGATCCTCGTAGGCAACGCCGTCCACGCACAGTTTGTTTCGATACCGCCGCCGTTCAGGCTAGGGTAGCGAGCTCAAATAGTCGGGCATAGCATACGACATACGTTGCCAGGAAATACGACTCACAAAAAAAGGTAGAAGCGTCCCTACAACGTCAACAACGAGCGCACGCCACACAACGCAATGGCGAAAACACGGAGGGCCGGGTCGCTTTTGCCCATATAGCTACCGCGCATGCGCGGCCTTCCGGCCGGGTTTGTAAACAGAGCCGCTCCGCGTGTCGGTCTTTTTCATCCTCAGTCGCATGGGCGCTGCCATCTTGAAATCACGTGACGCGGCCGCCATTAGGTTCCTTCAACTCGCTCTCCCCTCCGCCCCTTGGCGGGTCCGTTGTATTAGTGCTTTCCGTCGCGTTTCACCGGGATTTTATGCCTTATTATGTAAATTTTGATACTTATATATTCTGCCTAATTGCATGACATGATGATGACCATAACTTCTGCCGTTAACTTTGTAGCCCGATCTGACTACTTTTACAGTCGGTGTACCGAATGCGTGAGGATGAGGCACAGGAATCAGCGTTAGCACTGAATCACATTGATTATATAAATGACTAAGACAGCACGAAGGTTCAGAGGTCAATTACTTGTGACAACTCAGGTTTGTGTACTAATAGTGGCCTAACATTTGCAATTAGAAGCGCGTATATTTATGATTTAAGATCGGAAGGCGTCAAGTATACTCACCGTAAATGGAGACTATGTGTTTCTGAAAGCATCGTCATTCGTATTCATAACAGATCAACAACAGTTTTTGTTCATTATTGGAGGGAGCTCGTGGACGAGGTAGACAACGAACGTTTCACTTGCATTTTATCCGATGCTATAGAAATAATGGTACGTGCACATCAGGTGATTTGTTTGTTCATAATATCACACCTACATGTGTATGACGTTCTCAATCGTTCTTTTTTTTTTTTTTTTCTTTGCGATATAAACACTCGGTTGGCCCATTTAGGTATGGATTTTAAGAAACTCTACACAGTGGTTGGTCCCATTTCGATAGTTTTTCAAGCGATTCATTGATTGTCTTCAGGTGACCACTTCAATTCACTTCATTTATTTTAACACAAGGTTGGGACTTCCCATGTAACAGACTGCCACAGACAGCTTAAGAGTACCGAGTTTTAGAACAGCGTACGCAAAATCTTTGATTACGCAAAGAAAAAGCGTCGTCTCTGTGCGCTAATCCAAAACGCGGTTTGAGCTCGGCACATGCGCCTTAATGACAACGATTTTTTTCTTTTCTTATTGTCTTCCGTACGCAAAAAAAAGAAAAAGTTGCATAGGTACGCTCTTTTAACTCTTGCCAGTGCATGGAGTTCTCAATCTTTGACGCCGAAGAAAAGCCGTCTGCATAAAAAAAAACACCCGAGTCCAACGCTGTCCATGAAAAATTGAGGTTTACATTTAGTGGCTGGCGACGCCGAAATTCGCAAAGCGCATCTGTTCAAACAAATACATATCTGTTTACGCAGGTCCATGAAGTGGCGCCTAGCGTTAGACTTCAGCCAAACTTTCCGAGGTACTTCTCCTATGTCCTTTAATTTCATTTGGCCAATTTTACGGACGTCAGACTCAATGTGACGGGCCTGTCACTTATATGATCACATATCTTGTGTACGCAAATGTCCATATAAAAAAATGTTTATTTCCTGGCGCCTATATTGTGAAATGCTGCTTATGGGGGGAGTACTTTAACAGGGCTGATAATTAAAGAAATTTCCTACTCGGCATGGGTTTCACTCTCAAAACAATTTCTTATTTTTTTTTAATACTCTGCGTCATTGTACAAAACTTTTTTAGTCTGCGAAACGCACTAAAAGTTTGTTCTACACGAAAACAAAAGAGTAGTAGTAAACTCGCGAGTTCATCTGTTCTTAGTACTTACCGATTCAGCACATTGCTAATCTAGCTGTCGATCTCCTCCTTCACATTCACGTATTACTAGTCTCTTCATTGGTTTATTTTTCTAGAAACTAGCGTCATCAGGTACGAACGTAGACGATGGTAGTCTTGTCTGTACATCAGTTCAGTCGTTTCGCCACCGACCATAAGCAGATGCACCAAAAATGTACGTAAAAAAAATAAAAGAAAACGCAATTTAGGGTTGAAATTACTTCGTAGTCTTCACAGTGGCTCAGTACCACTGTTTCATTGATAATGTGCTGCAAGGGGAACATTCGTATCACAAAATTAAGTATAAACTACGTAAAACAGCAACATAGCCGCGTGCACGTTGAAACCGAAACCAACCAAATTGAAGCAACTTAATGGATGGATGGATGAATGAATCCGGCTGAGCCCTTTAGATTGGGTGGTAGCTTACGCCACCTAGCCATTTGTTTTACCATTTAAGCTTGGAATATTTAAATGTGAAAACTATATTCACTCCGCACTGAAAAGAAAGTGAGGCTATAAAGCCCTCTTGCCATCAGTTAATAAGAAAATACCTAGTTTTCTCTCGCTTTCTGCCACCATTCACTTAATCTTTGCTTGGTAATCTCTACTGTCTTGAAATCCACTCTTCCTTCGCTGTCTCTAAAACCCAATGACTTTATTAAATCTATGTTGTCTTCGGTAGGCATAGGGTGAAGCCCTTTACAGTAGATTATCAAGTGATCAGCCGTCTCGTCCTCCTCTCCACAAGCAGTGCACACTGTATCCATTTCCTGGTACTTCGCTCTGTATGTTCTGGTTCGCAGAACACCCGTCTTCGCCTCAAACAACAATGAGCTTCCCCTAGAATTGTCATAAATGCTTTCTTTGGCAATAACTGTTTTGTTTAATCTATAGCTTTCCAGAGCCGTCTTTGTCTGCATTCCCTCTAGCCACCGATCTCTTTCAGTGGCCTTAACTTTCTTTTTAACTGAGACCTGCTCTTCCGTAACTCCACCATAGCCTAAAAACTTTCCTCTTCATTTCCTAGTG